CGGAATAAACAACATGTTAGAAGCAGAGTCAAACACAAAGAAAAGGAAAACTCTCCTTGCTCAACCATCTCTACTTTGCTCTCTAAATCATTCTTGGATTCACTAGAAGAGTTTAGTGTCCCCGCTAAAAACATCTCAAAGAGTTTGAGCTCTAATTCATAATCTCCTAATTGGGCTTGAATAAATACGTTTCCACGTGCTACACATCTTACCAAACCAGCTTCACTCAAATGGTTAGTATACAATCCGAATCCATCTACCAATATAGATGGATTTGTGATGTGTAGCACAGTCAGAACAGTCTACACTAAAATACACATCCTACTGATAAGTACTCCTCAAGATCCTTCACAGTCAGAACAGTCAATGAGATGAGATTTGGTACATACAATTTGAAACAAGAGGTGAAGCCCATGCCCGCTTGGGTTCAATCAAAACTATCACCCTAAAGGCGGCATCAAACTTCATACATGTTGATCATGTACAATTAAAATGAGAGTTGGTTTGGCAAAAAAAAAAGGGAAGATGCTTGGCTCTGAAGTGTGAACATTCAAGGAAGAAGTCTGTTAACACAAAGATAAAGATAACCCGCATTACAATGCAAGTTGACACAAAAAGGGAGATTGTTTGGAATTATTTTATTGTGTCCAATTGATGTAGTTATCTTTGTAATTGTGTGTTTAATTTATTTATGGGACCTTATATTTATTTAGCTCATTCAGTATTTATTATGTATTTCTTTATCAATAATAGGAAAATGGTATGTCACTTTCCTACGGATGATCTTTTGCACTGTACTGGGATATAAAAAATGCATATGCCTAAGTATCCCGGGCTGATTGAGCCGATCAGTAAGTTTTCCTAAGCATTATATTGCGTCCATACATTTGAGAGAAAAGGTGGAGCTACTGGTTTCGTATGCCCTTGTTCATTCATCGACAATGTTTCATTTTAATTCAGGCTGTGTATTGTTGTTATTTTTCTGTTTATATGGTAACTTTGAGCATTAGAGTGGGTGGTGAGAAGTCCTTTTCGATGACTATTGGTTCAGTGTCGCCCCATCATATGATCATCGAGTTATATTGCTTTTTGGAATGTGATTAACACCAAATCTGGTTTGAGAATTAGTGATCAAGATGTGACTTTTTATTTTGACGTAAGTTCTCTAGATTCTGATTTCATAATACAAGTCAATCACACTAAAAAATCGTCTCGTCGAACATTGTCAGTTACGCTTACGATGATTGATTATGAAAATATTTAATTATTGTCATATTTAACATTTAGTCATTTCTCAATTATACTGAAATCTCTATCTGATCGCAAAATTAAAACTTTGATTCAATAATAAATTAATAATCAAAATGTATAAATAAATAATAATCACTATTATGTTGACCATACACACACGCATTTAACTGCTAAAGTCTAGCAGACAAAGGAGTAATTATATTGACAGTAAATTGACAATTTGCATACATGTTTAGTGATAAAACTTAAGACACGTTTTTTAGCATTAAGTTTGTCAAATTTCATTACATACATGAGTAGCTACATAACAAGAAGATTTGACACTTCTTAAATCACGCAGGAACATCACACATAATTTATGTATCAAAAGGGGCTTTACACATTGACAGTGGTCTTCTGGTCGCTCAAATTTCAGTTAAAGAGTTTTAAGCATTAAGTGTTATTAGCTTCACGCCTTCACGTGTTTAATACATCAATTATTAGTGAAGTAGATATTGAATACCTCTTTTCTTGCCAAAATGGGTGAAATCACAGAGCACCATCATTGATTATAGCCATTATCGGCACATATTATATATCATACTTGATTAATAAATTTGTTGAAGTGATGGACAAGAATGATGAAAAAATCAAAAATCTTCCATGGTGTGAGGGAAAAATGTGCCCAAGGACATTCCGATTGAATTTAAATGAGTATCGTAAACCACAAATTAGTAAAACAACTGTTATATTGCATTGGAAGATTAAAAAGGGGAGGGTGTGATCGGTCGGAACCAACATGAAAGATATGATTAAGCCAATTATAAGTGTATCGGATAAACTAAGCCCAATTCAAGCTTATATGCCTACACCCGAGGGTGGCCTAATAAGGTTAACAAAGGGATCAACACAATTGAGACAAAAAGTGGGTTGACTCATTTGACTTGTCCTACATACCATTCTAAATTAATTATCCCCTCAACATTATCCTAGGTGTCCATGAATGTTGGTGGGAAGGGCATTTAATGGATTGATACAATACAATCATGAACAAATAGGGAGGTGCCATATTTCCTCTTTTGAAAATATGGAGAACCCATTAATCCCATATTGACTAATGTCCTATTTCTCCTCTCTTCAATCCCATTATGTTGCGGGGTATATGGGTTGTGACTTCATGGATTATATACTCCATCATTCTCACAAAACTTTTTTAAATAACCAGATGTATACTCACCCCAATATCAGTCCTTAAGACTATTATAGCTTTTTCACTTTGGTATTCAACTTTTACTTTAAACTTTTGAAAAACTCCAAACACATCTGATTTGGTTTTTAACGAAATAGATCCAAATTTTTCTGTTAAAATCATAATAAAAAAGACAAAATACTTATGGTCAGAAGGGGAGAATGTTCAAATCGTCCATATACATATGAGCTCACTACATTCAGTCATTAGCACTAGAGACATGGTGCTTGAAGCTATTCATAGGTTGTTTACTAATATTACATCCACCCACACACTTTTATTGAAGTTGTACTCCTAGAGCCATTTGATTCTTTTCTCATCAACTGTTGTAGATTTTTAAAGTACAAATGGTCATATCTTGCATTCCAAAGACAATTTTCATCAATTGAGGCAGCTGCTTTGAGATACTAAACTTTGTTGCATTGATATTCACTTGGAAGGTCTTGTTCCTTGCCTGATAAATTTTTAACACTAGCTTCTTGATTTAAATTAAATAGCCCCAATTCCTTATTCCTCATATTATAGAGTATCATTTTGATAACAATTGACCAAGACTTAGAAGATTGCCCTTCATTTGTAGTACAAATAACACATTTTCAATGGTCAACATTCTACCATCTTCCCTTTACAGAGCTACTACACTCCCAACTTCTTCAGTTGCTATTGTACTTTCATAAGCAAATTTAGTCTTGTTCCTCATACTTTCTTCAAATTAAAATAGCATTCTTGTGACTATTCATAAGGTTTGTGTCTGTGGTATCAAGATCCCCAAAATGATCCGTGTTAGATTCATCATATACTTTGGCTATTACCGGCCATAATTGGCTCAAAATCAATGTCCTCTTCTTTTGCAATGTGAATTTTACCACTATCCCCAATTCCCCAGTGTCATCGTACTTATCCCTCTTGTGAGCCCACTTTTAAAAGTTATACGGAGTAATACCGTATATTACTTCTATCAAATTTATCACCAAAGTTATTCTAATTTTTCTACCTTCCTTATTTTAGGGACTCACCTTCTTACAACATGGCGGCTGCAGGTGTTACAACAATGGATGACTAGGGATGTGGTTAGGGTGAGGGCGGGAGAAGGGGATCTGATAGGGAAAGGGGGAGGGTTAGGGCGGTGGGTCCTTGGTTAGTATGAGAGAGTGGTCAAGGGTGGGAGAGAGGTTAGGCAACAGGCAGGTGGAGAGGTTTGGGGCAACAGTGGGGGTGGCTGGTGGGGGCGTCGGGATGGTGGCTCGAGTTACTAGATAGTGGAAGGTAGTTGGGTATCAGTGTTAATGACAGATGCAACAATCGTGGTATCGTCAGAGTCGCGGTTATCAATGTGATCATCGTGATCTTGATAACCACTTATGGCGGGTCACCGGGGTGGGCTTTTACTGGAAAAAATAGGTCACTGTGTGGAATCGGACTCACCGGGTCCGAGGTCACTGTTCATAGGGGCCAACGACGAAGTTGGTTACTGTGACCGCCGGTGATCATTGTCCAAGTGGTCACTGGGGTGGTGGTCATTGACAATTTCTTTTTTATCATTGTGGTGTTTCTGTGACAATAGTTAAATGAGATTATATTAGTAAGTGTGTAGTAGACTCTTGGCCCTTTTTAATCTCTTTTTTGGAAACTAAAAAAAGATCCCTTTTTTTATCCACAACTCTTTTTTTAGTACTCCGTAATATTTTTGGTAAAACTCCAATAAGAAAATTAAAAATGGCATGCTTGAAATTTATGGACAATCAAAAAAGAAATTTGGTAAAATCTGGTAGGAGGAGGGTGTATAAATATTTTTTGAACAAAATGTTATTTGTACACGTCCATTTACTCGCCAAGTGTATTTTGTTTGTGTACAAATTATTGATTTCATTGTAATAAATGGAATGTCTACTACCCAAAAAGTGAATTGTTTGTGACAATGGGAAAACAACGCACAGGTTATATATACAAGCAACAGTTTTGTTTTTTGGAATAAAACAAAAATGCAAGTACCTCCGGATCCGTAATATTTATGAAAGGGAAAAGGGGCAAATAAGCCCTCGAACTAATAAAAAAAGTGCAAATAAGCCCTTTTGTAGGAGGTTTCGTCTGATCATTGTCATTTGGGGAGGTTCTCGGTGGAATTTTTTGATGAATTTTTTTGAGCATCTTCTTCATTAAGTCTAGTTTAGCCATACCGAATTTCAGTTAAAAATTCAACCGGGAAGGCACACAAATGATTCTCGGAAATATACTGCGTTGTTTAACTGCGCAGTTATCTTCAAAAATTCATTTGACTGTCTTCCCGATTGAATTTTTAGCTGAAATTCAGTAGGACTAAACTAGACTTAATGAATAAGATGCTCAAAAAATTTCATCAAAAAATTCCACCGTGAACCTCCCCAAATGACGATGACCGGACGGAACCTCCTACAAAAGGGCTTATTTGCACTTTTTTTATTAGTTCGAGGGCTTATTTGCCCCTTTTCCCTTTATGAAATCAGTTCATGTATTTGGAGATGCTTCCCCGGCCTAACTGGTCCCTCCCTCACACCATGAGTATGGCGCGACGCCTACTATAAATAGCTTAGCAAGTTTCTATCTATATACCCAAACTCACTACTTTCTCCATACTTAGTAATTAATCTACTCACGCCGGCCACTGCTCCGGCCACTTCTACGATGGCAGAACCGTATTCGGCCGGCAGCGACGACCCACCATTCATGGAGAAATACAAGAACCTCTTCCAGAGGCACGGTTTGACCACCCAGGCACGGCACGAGGCGGCGGAGGAGCTGGAGCTGCCATTGATAGATCTGGGCGAGCTCAGCAGCAGAGACGGCGCGGCGAGGAAGGAGTGCAAGAGGAGGATCGCCAGAGCTTCCCGGGAGTGGGGGTTCTTCCAGGTGGTCAACCACGGGATCCCGCCGGAGGTACTGGAGAACATGAGATCGGAGCAGGTGAGGCTGTTCAGGAAGGCGTTCGAGGAGAGGGAGAGGAACATGAAGGTCCACTTTCCTGACGGGAATTACCAGTGGGGGACGCCGACTGCCACCAACCTGTGGCAGTTCTCTTGGTCGGAGTCTTTTCACGTCCCGTTGACCGACATCTCCAACTCCACCTCTGCAGCTTCTCAGACCAATCTTAGGTGCGTTCTACCGACTACTACGTATTTGATTCATTAGTCATTACATACATACATCATACATGCTCTATCATGATATCACATCAATGGCGGAACCACACTAAGAGAAAACAGAAAACCTGTTTACAGAAAACAGGAGAAAAGAAAACACAAAAGGTACCGTACCTACCATGCATTTGATTGGTTCAAATCATTAAATCCCTTTTAATTTAGATTTAAATAATTCAACTGCATGATTCTGGTTGGTCCATGTAGACAAAGGTACGGTACCTTATGGGTACCGTAGAATCTACAAACAGAAAAATGTTTTTACTGATTCATTTTTACCATGTTTACAAGTGAGTTTTACTAGTTTTTCAAATTTGAAACATCTGGATGTTGCAATACTACTTCAATGGATTTGCATACTTACGTCTAGTGGTGGACCCGGTCCGGTGCAAATAACGACCAGGTGGCTTGGTACCTATCTGTTCTGGTCAATGACCCAACGGTCAAGTTCGATCAAGGAATTGGCGCTCCATGTCCGGTTGTTCAACGATCTAGCGGTCCAGTCTTGTCAACAACCCGGGGGGTTCCTGTCCGGTCCGTTCGACGAACCCGGGGGTCCTTGTTCAGTCCGGTTAATGACCTGACATTACTTTTTCGGCCGAGTCAATGACCCGGCAGTTCAAGTTTGGTCTGATCTACGATCCGGAAATCCCTGTCCGATCCGGTCAACGACCCGGTGGTCCTTGTCTAATCGACAACCCGACGATCCGGTCCCCATTTTTTAAAAACATTTTTTCAAATTGAAGAGTTTCAAAAGAGTCGTTGGATCGCCAATCAATAGGGAAAAGGGACCGACCGGATTCAGTCCCACCATTCCTATACCTGAGATCGGGTACCCTACTTGAACTGTACTAGATTCTATTATGGACCGAGATCGTACTTTTTGGTCTTCCAACCAATCACAAAACCGAGTGTAATTTTTTGGAAAAGGGGTCAATTAGACTCTTCTAATATTTTCAATCCATCACTTATGCCCTTCTACTAAAAAACATCATCCTTAATGTAATCAATCTAGCTATTTGTTTTGCTATAACAGGTTATTTTTTCAAAAAAAAATAAGATTATTGATAAATCTTATAAAAATTCATATAAATTTGAAAGTTGGTATAATAATAATAATATAAACATAGCACAAATGTAAAAATACATAAATAATTTTAAAACGTTAAGATAAAAAATATAAATTCAGAAAAACTGAAAAAATAAAGTGAAAATGAAAAAAAAATGTAAAAAAACTTTTAAATAGATGCAAAATAAGCAAGTAACTTCAAAAATTAAAAAATATCAACTTCGACGTTCTGAAAATTTAACATTTTTAATCTACATTTCTTCAAATTTTAACAAATTTTTAGAGTTTAAAATATAAAAACCCTGCTATTACGGGTCAAAACTGCATAAATGGCCAAATTGATCAAGTTTTGAAAGTAAACGGACTTATATGATACTTTTTTAGTGCAGTGGCTGAACTGATGTTTCAGAAATAGTACAAAGCCTTATTTGACCTTTTTCCGAAAAATTTTATGAACATGCTTTCTGATTTGAAAATGGAAAACTAGAAAACAAAAACAGAAAATTGAAGATAGAAAAGATGAAAAATTAAAAAAAAAATGGAGAACGGAAAACATGAAAGAAAACTGGAAAGTGTATCTGTTAGTAAACATGATCTTAGTATTCTAGATTGAGATTCCCATGTTTAGTCCCCCTCTTAACTTAAATTTCTCACTTTTCTTTTTTAAACGTCTCAATAAAGGTTCACTTTTTTATTTTAGAAAATAATTAACATTTTTAAATGACAATTCAAAGTGCTCTCTCAATCATGCTGGATATTCACCCATCACATGGTTGTTAAACCCAACCTGTGATGGATTTGCGAAAATACAAATAGAAATGTTAGATGTATAATTCCAAAATAATATTGTTATGTTTCGAATCAATATTGTCAAAATAGTTTAGTACTAAACATTAACATGACAGTATTTACTGGAAGTATTTTTCAATCATGGCACTAGTGACTCCTATTTTAGGAAGAAGAACCCAACATTTCTATTTTGGAATTGCAGAACATTTTCATCCTATTTAACAATTGTCTAAATAATCGTGTCACTTTTGAATATAAAAAAATGTTAATTTGGGGCGAAGGTAGTAATGGGAAGGGGTTGACACACTCGACACGGTTCAAGAGCGTTAAAGATTATTAAGGTTATTCAGGTCTCATTCACAAGAGATCGGGAGGATTCAGTATGTCCCAAACTAATAAAAGATAATTTTGCAAAATAAGTCATCATTTCTAAATAGAACACATTAACATTTTTAGTGTATATATACATAAATTAACTATTTTATTGATAAGACACAAGAATAACATTTGATGTAACATTGTTTAATAGTGCATAGTTATTGTTACTTGAAGATAGTAGAGGAAATAAATAAGTTTTTTTATGAGATAACAAATAAACAACATCTAGTTACATACATCGTGAAAACGAATACAAGAAATTTAGGGAATGACATTAGTAACACTTTTCACAAAGATCACAAGCTTTGTTTGAAGGTGACAACTCCGATACCCGTTTAAAAAATGGGGAAAAATGGGGTACCGTACCTACCATGCATTTGATTGGTCCAAATCATTAAATACCTTTTAATTTAGATTTAAATAATTCAACTGCATGATTCTGATTGGTCCATGTGGACAAAGGTACAGTACCTTATGGGTATCATAGAATCTACCTTGTTTGAAATATAAAACAGGAGTCATTTACTACTAAAAACTTTTAACAACTTCGACTCTCGTATATATTAACACTAAAGTACTAAACATGTCACATTTGTGAGACATAGCATCATTACTTGTATTTATAATGCTGAAAAAGCTTGAGTATTTCTGTTTTGTAGCTAGACTTTAGTATAGCTTGCTTTACTCATATTCACAGCAATGTGAACTTTGACTTCACTATTTTTTTAACCAATTGCAATTTAGTTCACACGATTAACAAAAAACGTTATTCTTTTATACATTTTCATTTATGCTATCTCACTTGACTCATGGATAGAGTAAATTTATTCTTGACCAAAAGAAAATCATATTAATGCAACTAAAAGTACATTTGAAATCTTCTTTTGGGAATCGGGACTCCTTTTGCCGTGAAAGTCGCCCACTTATGATGGGAAATTAGTCATTAACTCATTAGTCATTACTAATATTTGGTCTATACATATTAGGCTACTTTGCTTCCTTTACCACTTATAAAAGTTTTCTTTTTTTACTTTCCGTCATGAGCACTGGAATTGAGTATTTTTGTGGTCCCATTTTTATCTGTTTCATTCATGAACTAAAACGAAAATATATTCTATTCTATTTTTTATACTACTACGTAGTACGTACGTATTACTCGCATTTGATATTGGACGTAAATATATAATTCTCACATATTTATTGAAGTTTACGTCAAAAATCTTACAGGACAAGTAACATATTGATTATTTATTTATAAAAAAGTACCAAAGAATGTAAGACAAAATTAGTGTATTAGTTGACTAATACATACTCCAGTAGTTTTTTTTTTTTGCAAGAGAAAAGCTTAACTTCCATTAATCAAATCATTGTCAAGAATACAAGATAAAAATGAGGGAAGATCATTAACCCAGGAACATGAATCAGACATAGAACAAGCAGCCTTAGCAATAGAATGGGCTAACTTGTTCGCTGACCTTCTAATAAAAGAGAACGAGATACTAGCAAAATTAAGACAGGTAAAATTTGACAGGTAAAATTTGACATCATTCAATAGTTTCTGTATTCCCATAACTCATTGTAAATTCAAAAATTCTAGAGGTACCCCAAAATGTACCCCATTTTGTACTCAGCTCCCTGAATTGCCGGTGTACACAGGCAATTCGTTTGAAAGAAGGCAGAACTTTCTGTCCAAATGTCTGTGTACACAGACGGTGTACAGATTAGGGTACAAATTGGGATACCCCAAGCAGGACTCTTGTAAATTTGTAATAATCAACACTAAATATTTTTCCACACTTTCCACACGTAGCACATAGTACAAACTTGACAAGAATATAAGAATATTAAAAAAAAAATCAATTGATGTGTTAGGTCCACCAAATTTATACGGAGTATTATTTGGAAAGGATAATGAAATATGAGCGTGCGGTTTTCATTTCAAATTTTGTTGAGTTTTCCATCGTAAAATACGGAGCAAGTCATAACCGAAAGATATGAAAGATCCCATTATTAACGTATTGGAATGATAATACGGAGTATTAGTTAGATAAGCTGGACTAGACGTGAAGGTCCTATCAAATACGGAGTACTACGTATATAAGAGAAAAAATTACCAAAATAAAGATAGGAAAAATTAAAAATAATAATCCCAACTATTGCCGGTCCGCTGAAAATAATCTCAAATATTGATTATTTTTGTATAATCCCAACTATATAGACTATCCGCCAATAATGGTCCATGATCATATATTACCTGTATAAAAAGTGAATTTTAAATAGAAATTAAGCGTAAAAATTAAAAGTTGAGATTATTTAGATGGATTACTTGTTATATCTCACTCCATCCACTTTAGAAACTACAAGAATTTATTCATAGGGACCATTATTGGCGGAAGGTCCCTAAAGTTGGGATTATTCTATAATAATCAATAGTTGAGATTATTATGAGCGGACCGCCAATAGTTGAGATTATTATTATTATCAATTTTTCCAATAAAGATATAATTATATAAATATGACCAATATAAAGATGATTTACAAAAATATGACTAGTTACTAGAGTGGTTATGATGAAATCATAGTAATTCATGTTCAAGTTTTGAACTTAAGTTACCACAACATTACGTTGTAGTAATGAATAGTCATATTTATGTAAATAAGTTTTATTTTAATAATATTCTTGTAAAAAACCCGATTGCCATTACATTTTCCTTGTCTCTATAATTTTCCAATCCGAAAGGTGACAACTCCGGTACCCATTTAAAAAATGAGGTACCGTACCTACCATGCATTTGATTGGTCCAAATCATTATATGTTTTTTAATTTAGATTTAAATAATTCAACTGCATCATTCTTATTGGTCCATTTGGATAAAGGTACGGTACATTTAGGGTACCATAGAATCTACCAGATAATAATGGAGCAGCAACGTGATTACACTTGGTATGTATACGTTCTGGTTGGATTCATTAGTTAAGGGTCATTCTTTGATTCTTAGTGTACACAAGATTACACAAAATGTGTCCATTTCCGGAGTACACAGATAATAATAAGAGAGGTTCTGGAATCAAATACTGCCCTTTTTTAAACGAATTGTCTGTGTACAATATGTACACCAATAATTTTTCTTTAATTAACTCTTGAGAGACTTTGGAAGACAATTGATAGACTCCTAAATTATAGTAATGCAAACACTAGGATCTGAAACATTAAAACAACCTACCTGCAATCTCTATGGTACTAAATATATAGGTTTAGAATTTAGAATTTCACAGACTAAAGGTGATGCCTTTCTTGCCTCCCCTACATGCAGGGCCATCGCTAGGATAAGTGGATAATCATACTAGATCGCCGCCCATCCTATGAAAAGAGGTGTGGATACCACAATTGGGTATTGAGGTCGGTGGACATTTGGGAATGAATTGTCTTGACCAAATGGAGGAAACGAGTCGGAGGAATACCTTCAATTAATAATATACGGAGTATCCGTTTAGATTTTCACAAAACTTTTACCTTACAAAAAGGGCATACAGAAAAATTCTTAAATTAGAAAGTTTGAACGAATGAAGCTAGTATGTGACACTTATGTAAATACCAACATGTTGAGGATCGACATAGAAATCGTTCTATCGTGTTATTGTGTTGTAAATGGGCAAACAAGTCTTAAGGAGAGGATACATAATGGGCAAATTCATCTTAAGAAGACAATACATATCGAATATATCGGGTTGTTGTGTTGTAAATGGGCAAACAAGACTTTAATGGACAAATTCGTCTTAAGAAGACAATACATATCAAAGGGCTCTGTTTCATCCATGTAATTCTTCTACCGTAGTATTAAATATTACTCCGTAATTGATTATTCCGAAATCCATAGGTAATTTGACCTACACAGATACGTCAAACCCGTACCAATACCTTTCAATACTGTTTGTCTGTTTTGTCAGCTACTATTCGGCACACGTGTCAAAAATACATTATGATCCATGTCAAATTTGGGTTAATCTGTGCTAAAATCGTGAAATTATGGATGATAAAATTCAGGTCAACAATGGGGACATTTGCAGCAAGGGCGGCGGAATTAGCGCAAAGGCTGGCGGTGATTTTGGTGGAGGAACTAGGCGATAGGCGGTGCAACTATTTCCAAGAAAAATGCCCGATATCCACTTGCTACGTTCGGATGAACCGGTACCCCGCCCTGCCTGAACCACGTGTTCGGGTTGACGCCTCACACCGACAGCGACTTCCTCACCATTCTGCACCAAGACCAGATCGGAGGGCTCCATTTGGTGAAAGATAATCGATGGATCTCTGTTAAGCCCAAGCCCACCACACTTGTCATCAATATTGGAGATCTTTTTCAGGTACTTGTCTCTAATATTCTCCATCTATGGCTCGTTTTATTTTATGTGTCGTTATGTCATTTTGTGCATGCCACAAAATAAGATTGAGGATATATTGCGTTGTTTTTCTATAAAACAAATAATTACACAAAGATTTAGTGTGTATCTATCAAAACCAAAATGGGATTTTGTTTGGTACAGCTACTAGCTTTTTTGTTTAAATGTCTTATCGTTAATGGAATTATATATAAACAATTCTCTTATATATTCACATGCATTCCGTTAAACTTCAAAATATTTGGTAATCTCGACATTTTCTGAATTTTTTGTAAGCTTTAGAAGATATTTTAGGAAAATTCCCAAAATAGGAATAAAAACAATTTTGAATTCCAAAATATGCTTGTCATGTTTTTTTTTAATCTAAATAGGAGTATTTACTATCAAGTTTGAAAAATACTGTCATGTTCATAAACATAACAATATCAAAATAATACTCCTATTTCGGAAATACGTAGTAAAACATAACAATTTTATTTTGAAATTCCAAAACGTATTATTTCTATTTAGCGCAATTTCCCAATATATTTACGGCTCTATTAAATGTCGTATTTCTGAAAATTTATATTCCCTAATTTCCGATCATTCAACTATTTACGAAGCAGCCACGTCACTTTTGTGGGCCTTTTTTGGAAGTGACCACGTCTTACTCAATTACCTCATGATGAAGCCACATTCATGCTAAAAAAAAGTAGTTGATCTTCGGGTCGTATATGCAAAAACTTGACCATAATTATTTGTAGATACTCGCACAGATTTTTATAATTTTGCTGTCTTTTCTTTTTTATCCTAAAAATTTTCACTTTCTATTTTAATCAATGATTTCTGTTTTCTCTCGTCTGCACAAAACTCAACTACATGATTTTAAATTTATTATTTCTTGTGTCAGTCAATATGACAATGTATTGAGGAATGAGGGAGTATAAGATTAGTAATAAGTAGAACTGTAGAAGTTGTGTAGTTGATATTTACAAAAATGTTATTTGTACACAATATCTTATATCCACCCTTATATTCGTCTCTGTGAGAGACTATTTTGTGTGTGAATTCTGTTCACTGACAAAACAGTCATGTTTTTGCCTATGAATTGAAAATGTTCACAAACAAAAACATGTTGTTTTGTTTGTGAACTAGATTCACATACAAAAAATAGCATCTCATAGGAATGGCATAAGGTGATTTATAAAAGTAGGTACAAGTAGCAAAATTGTGATATTTATTCATATGAGAGAGAAATATCTTTCACCACATATTTATCACTACAAATAAAAATTAAAAAAATGGAACTTCTAGTTAAATAAATTTGACAAAGTTTAATAGGACAAAATGAAGCCTAAGGTCATACTACGTATATAAAGCGGTCGTATATTAGGCTATTAGCGAAATACTCCGTATAAGATTATAATGACATAGAGTAAGTGAAATCCTGAATTGTTCCTCTTTTTAGAAATAGAATATAATATAATTAAAGTCTTAATATGTATAGTTAGCGCAATTTAAATTATAATAAGCAATCGATATGATCTCGATCATTAATTAATTCTTAAAAAAATACTCGTATGATACTCCGCATATTATCTCAAGATTGATTTGATTCAACAAAAAATATCTTGCGTGACATGTTAATAATCTCTAAGTTATTCTTGGGATGTTTTCTTTTGGACTGAAATTTGCTGGTCTGGTATGGTCTGGTCTGGTCTGATCTGGTCTGGTCTGGTCTGGTCTGGTCTGGTAAACGTCTGGTCTCTGTGTATTTTATAACTATCCAAGTTTGATCTGGTTTGGTCTGGTCTATTTAAGTTTGGTCTGGTCTGGTCTGGAACTGAAAACAGTCCAAAAGAAAACATCCTTGGTACTTAATTGGTACTTTTGTCATTTTGTGATTCATCCATCAATAATCTTATGAGTTATACTCCCTCCGTCCCTTAAAACTTTTTCAACTTTTCTTTTTTGGATGTCTCACTAACTTTGCCACTTTTCCTTTTAAGTAAAGAATTTATGGTTCCAATTATTTCTCTCTCCTATGCACAAACCTCAACCACACAGTTTTTACTTTATTAATCTCTGTGACGGTCAAACTTGGCGAAGTTTTAAGGGACTGAGCGAGTAAGACAATATAATGTCTAAATATATTGTTATGCTTCACAGAATCATGGTATGCAGTGGTGGCGATAGGGAGCGGTTGGAGGGCCTCTCCCCTACCTCCAAGAATTTCTTTTTTATATGCATATAAAAAGAAATATATCTAGTGATCAAATTTGACACAGATTTGGCACATATTGATCGAATTTGGCACTGATGATAAGATAGTTTTGACACGACGTCGTGTCATATAGCTGGTGAAAGAATGGCATTGACACAAAATTTGGCACAAATTTGACGTATCTGTGTCAAATTCGTGCCAAATACCCTAAAATTATGTTGATGTTTTAAGTTTTGACCCCCGCAATATAACAATTCTAACCTAAGGTCCCGTAAGGCCGTAAACACTACATTTCTGGTTCGATCCGATCACTAATGGTATGCATATATTATGTAGGCATGGAGCAATGGGGTGTACAAAAGTGTTGAGCACCGGGTGGTTGCCAACCAAAGGAAAGAGAGATTCTCCACAGCTTTCTTCTTTTGCCCATCGTACCACACAACAATTCAGAGCTCTTCTCAGCCTTCTGTTTATAAGACGTTTACTTTTGGAGAATTCAAACGGCAAGTACAAGAGGATGTCAAGAACACAGGCTCTAAAGTTGGCCTCCCTAGGTTTCTTGCTTCATAAACTTAGGCGCTAGTTAGCTAGTTATAAGCGCTGCTGCCAAACGCGCCACTGGCCTGTCATTGTACTCCTTAATAAGGTTAATCAACACACTATGTAACAAAGTTATCAAACTTTACCTCCTTAAAATGTGTAACATAGTAATAAGAATAATTTACTACTCCAAATAGCTAGGAGTAAAGAATGGTGTTGATTCTACAGAGGGTTATCACATTTTTGAATTACAAATATGAGTTACATGTTTGAATTTCAAAATAGAATTATCACATTTTTATTTTATCTAAATTAGAGTAATTATCTTCAAGTTGAATATACTGTCATGTTTAAAATTTGATAACGTTAAAAGTGGAAACGTTTTCTATTTCATTCATGGCAATTTCTTCAACAATTTTTTTTTTTTAATCCCGGTAGGCAAACCACCTAAGTCGGTGGGGTAAATGCCGGGGAACATTTACCCTCTTCAACAATATAATCACTAATTATGTTTTTATGTACCCTCTTCGAAAAATTCAAATGAATAATAGGAATTTCATGTGGTGCGATATTCAAATTTGTACGAAGTAATATTTATCTTTACATAACTAGTGTAAAGCCCGGGGCAATGCCCCGGCTACGCGTCAATTTGATACAGGTTAAAATCATTTCATCATTTTCATTTACCCCAGTGCCGCAAAGGCTCCCACCTACGGTGGGGTGAGTGGGGGTCGGGTGTACGCAGTCTTACCCCTATACTAAAGCACAAAGAGATTGTTTCTGGATGACTCATAGTGCAAATCGCGTCCAAAATTGCATGGACTGACCGTTGCTTCATAACAAAGAAGCACAGACAGTTTAGTGAGTCATTTTGCTTTATTCCATCATATTCTTAAGCCGAAAAATAATGAATCTTTGGCTCCATTGCAAATGATGGAAATTGATACAAGTTAAAATGAAAAATATTAATATATATTGTGAATTATTCATAGATCACAAAGTTAACATATTAAATTTTAAAATAATGTTCATAACAATTGGCTTTTAGTTGAATTGAGACAATCAAATGGGTGAATTGAGATCTTATTAAATATTTGTTGTTTATTTGTTTACTTTGAATTTGTGAGTAAAATGATGAGCATAGGTTGCATTAATGGTGCATTTTCATCGTATAAAAGTAGCTCTTAAAAATAAATTGGTTTGCGTTGTGTTGATGGACATATCGCAGTAAGTGTTCAATGTAATTTTTGGGCTTATTATGGGATATATATAGGAGTCCGTTTAGTTACCCTATTTTTGGGCTTATTATTCTTATCAATCAATTTTCTCACTAAACACGTAATTTTGTATTTCAGACTAAGTTTGTGTCGTCTAAATAAGAAATTAAGGTTGGAGTTACTTTATCACAAGATTGACTGAAATCAATTACTTTGTAGAGAATCAATTTAGCTATTTATAAATATATTTACTTTGTTTTATTAATAAATTATACTTTACATATTTTTTTCCACAATTTAAGAGAATCACTCAATTGAACCACTTCAAAATTTAAGGGGTTAAGGGCAAATTGGACACTATGATTCTATGATAATCTCATATTGGACACCAAGGTTGATAATGAGTTGATAAAGTGGGAATAAAGTAAGAATGAATTAGTTTCACACAAATGTTACCAAATATGGTATGAGAGTATGAGACAATATATAATAGGACATCCAAAAATGGAAAAATGAGACAATTATAAGGGGGCGGATGAATGGTTACATGTGTATCTCATATTAGACACTAAAGTTTCAAATGAATCAAATTTAACGTCTTTCTGATCATTATTGAACACCCACTAAAGACTTTTCACATTTGAAAGTTATAGTATTCCTTTTTCACTTTGTTTTATGTGCCTAAAAAATAAAAATAACCCAATTCGTGTATTTAGTTTTAGAGTTTATAATTAGACGGTCCAATTAAGAAAATCTATTGTAATGTAATCGAATTCTATATTATTGTTAAATCAATTGAACAAATCGATATTTCTCAAAGATTCATAAAAACAATATGAATGAAAAGTCCTAAATATATTTTCAAATTGTTACATAGTAGAATTTATTAATTAAAATTGAATTATATATTGTAAAACCTCCATTTAAATATTCCAAAATTATATACATAAGTTAAATTAGTTTATTTTCACCAAAAAGAAACGGAAAAATAAGACTAAGGTTTTTTATTAAAGAAAGCGGAGAACCATAAGTGGGTGTCTAAGAAGTATAAATTATGAAACTTTAGTGTCTAATATGAGATACACATAATCATAATTTCTAATTTGGTCCATTTTGAAATGTTAGTGTTCAATATAAGATTCTAATGTAATCATATTATGTAATTTGACCCTTATCCCAAAATTTAAGTATTACTAAACGGATCAGTCAATCAGTTAAATGTACGTAGTACAGGTATTAACCATCCAAAAGAGTCTTGTTGAATTATACTGAGTATATGACCACGCATAAGAAGTTCTATCTGGAGTAGTTTCAAAACGATTCTGTGAAAACGACGTTATAATATATGAATGGTATGGATGAGTCCAAATCCAAGTTCAATTAAAGTTAATAAACGAACGAATTACTTGTTATAATTAAAGATGCAAAAAAAACACAGTTTTTTTATGAATCTCAGGTTATGGATATGAAAAATAAAAATTTAAAATTCCATTTTTTTTGTTTTTGTTTTCTGGCAAATTCCATTTTGTGTTAATAATCGAAATTTTCAATCCAGAAAAAATATACTCCGGTATTCATTATATATTGTTTTTACATTGGTAATTATCTACGGAGTAATTATCTAGAAGGTATTTGTCTTTTGTATCTAGAATTGTCAAGTAACTATATATTGTTGTATTGTTGTGGAGAGGAGTCTGATAAGCCTTTTTATATTAAATTAAATGTATAAAGGTGATGGAAAATATTATAATCGTTAGTCAAACAAATATAAGCATTAAGGAATCCATGTCTAATAATACGGAGTAGTATGTGTTATCTAAAGGGTAGCTCTTCGGTACACTTACGTTCTAGGATGTACCGGTGCATTCAACACATGGCATAAAATTACTTAATATATATTCCACGTCACTTCTTCATTTAGAAAATTCTGACTTTGCTGAATAGATCCCTACAGTATGTGATATTATAATTCATGCCTGCCTTATTCCCTTCTCTGACTCTTGTGCGGAAGGAAGAAGATGAGAAAGAAAGTCATCCGCACCTGCAATTCAAGCAGCTAAGCGGTTAAGGTTCTGTCCATCTTCTTTCTCTCCTGATAATCGGCTGTCTCGTTCGGTGATAATCGGTTGTCTCGTTCGGATTTACAAGTCAATCTCCTCCTCCGCATCTGCAAACCTTATTGGTAAGCTTTAGCTGGCCGATCGCTCAACCAAATCCCATCTACGTTCCGTAAGCTTCTCTTTTATTTTTACATTTTTGTCTCTTTTATCAGTTTAAATTTCTATCAGTTCTAAATTATTCATTTTAGTCAAGCAAGTCTTGAATTTGCAATACAAGTTTTAATATGAGTTTCTTGTTTTTGTTTGCAGTCAGCTACCAACAATTTTAACTATGACAAAAAGTTGAGTGAAGGCGGATTCGGTAGTGTTTAAGCCTTAATTTGACAAAAAAATTCAATCTTCAATTTAGTTTAATCATGAACTTGCTGTAATCAATCTAGATCTCATTAAAAAGTTAAGCAATGGGGAGAAACTGGAACCATTCTGGATTCAGGCTTTGAGCGGTGAGCTTTGTGGTTCTCTTATCTGTATATTCAGTTTCTGCCGCGAATAGTAAACCCGAAATTCCAAAATTGTGAAGGGGGCTCTAAGAGCAAAGTGGCCAGGCACCTCCTTACTTTTGGAAGGGGGCTCTAAATCTATCTTATATTGTTGGACTTGAGAGTTTCATTTTAATACAGAAAATATGACTTCTACACACATAGGAAATTGAGAAATCGATAAAGGATTCAAGAAACATGTTTTTCAAATTTAACAAGCCAACCTCATGTTATCATGATGTTAAAATTTATTTTGGGTAATGGTATATTCATTTGGCTGATTAAGAAAATATATTCTTGAGCAGATTATGTTTTGGTCCAGAAACAAAGAGTGCATTTAGCTGTGAATTGGTAAGTCATCGTATCTGAGGCTAGTCAAATGCTTTCGCTGCTTATACATATTATAAATATTAGACCATACTATAAGCATGATGAGTATTATGACACTACTTGCTACAAACAAGATATAATTACTTTCTGGACAAGAATTCTCTAGTGCCTTTTACGTAGTGAAAGAAATCATTTTTGTGATACTTATAGAACGTAATAGTCTATCAGGTAATTAGTCTAGTAAAGTTAAATATGTGGTAAATAGGGTTAATACACATACACATATGAGTTGACTGGTTGAAGACTCGGGGCCACAATTGCATATCCATTCATAGGCATAACCATTCTTTCTAGTGATCTGATGTCCTGGTTGGGTTGGTTGACTTACTAGAGTAGAGTGATTGGAGACGTGGAATCATAACTGCAGTTTCAGTTAAAGTTTCCGACTTGGCCTTTTTCTGATCACAGTCATAACGGCATTTTTCTGATCACAGCCATTTCCCCCACCTTATGCAATTCGTGATTTTAACAAGTTGGTGATCAGGAAAGGCCTGATACTAAATTATACCCTTTTTTGAATTATTTTTCTCTTCCATACACCTTTCTTATTACTCCGTATTAGGGAGCCTCATTTTTCTGAATACATCTTTTTTATTCCCTCTAGCGCTCATCCATTGATCTACTTGTTCTACTTTATTTAAGTGGTTTCTACTGGTTTAAGTCTAGCAAGCTAACAAGTCCCAATTTGAGTGCAATGTGATTTTAATTATTAATTTTATAAATTTGAGTGCAATGACATTTTAATCTATAGTCGTCTCTATAGACTTAATGTCACTCCTGGGTTGGTTTAAGGTGATGATATTGATGATGATGATGATGATTTATTTAATGTCATTCATAAGTAGGTTGGACTAAGGTTATGATGATGATGAGTTTGCCGGAAAACACTATAATCATATTTGTTAAAATGGCTAACTAATGCTATTTCTGACAGACACCCTCGCACATTGGTTGTATCCTGACCGAGTACTCTTCTTTGTGCTGCGTTCCGGCGTTTCAAATTTTCCAACTTTTCTTTCACAAAATGGGGCTCTCAAACGATCTAGATCTGTTGAATCCTTCTTTTGAA